CAAGTTTTATTTCTGAAAAAACTACTTTGTAAAGCTTTGGGGATGAGCAGGGATTATGAAACTATATATCCAAAAGAGTATTATTTAACAGTTATTTTTTAAAGTTTTATATAAAAAGACGCGACATAACATAACGGGGGAGTGTTTTCTAAACTCATTTGTAGTGTATATGAATTGATCAACAAAATTTCTAGAATTGATTTCCAAATTTGGAAATCTCCCTGACTGAAATTGTATATAATTATCCGGGGACCTAGCACGCCCCAATGGTGTGCGACATTCTAAGAAAATCAAATCTAATTTAATATCATATATTGATTGGTTGAGGGACGCTCTAGGAAAACCGGGTTTCGAGACTTTTGATCAAAAAAAATTTTTTTTAGATAATATTAAGCTATTACATCATGATTATAATTGGTGAAAAGTTAGATGCTGTTTTACTTAGTACAAAAATAAATTCTTGGGTCAACCAAAATTTTCTTTGAATCGAATTTAAAAATCAAAATTTTAAAAAAGTAATGATCTACAAATTCATATTCATATTTAATAGTCACGAGACCCCATAGAGTTACTAATTCATAATTTTTATTATAATTATTAACCTTTCTATAAAATTTAAATTTTAAAGGTGAATGAATACATGCTTTATAATCAATATTACATGGAAATTGTAAAAACAATTTTCAGGTATGTTTTCTGTGTCAATCGTTTGCACAAAACAATTTTTTTTATATACTCGAAACCCATTTTTTCCTAGAGCGCCCCATATGTAATGATCTGCATACTACTTGTAGAATTTCCGAAATTGCAAGAAAACATGCAATTTTCAAAATTGTTATTTCTTCCCCATTTTCAACAATATATGTACCAGATGTGTGTAAAAAGATAGTAAATAAATAGTATTTTAAAAACTCAAAGTTATTTGCATTTTAAAAAGTTCAATATTGTGAAATATTAATTCCTTTATTGCAATACTTTTTGCTCTATTACAACTTTCAAAAAAAATGTAAAATTAACATATTCTCTCTGTATCAATATTCTACAGATGTTTTTCAATCGAAATAATCTAATTTTTTTTGCAAATGGACAGATTTTATGGGAGAAATAACAGTTTAAAGTTTTCCGAAATTTGCAAGAAAACATAATAAAATGTGCAGTTTTCAAATTGTTATTCCTTCCCCATTTTCAGCAATATAGATGTCAAATGTGTGTAAATAGATAGTATTTTAAAATTCGGGGAGTTATTCACATTTTAAAAAGTTCAATATTTGTAAAATATTCGTTCAAAATTTTCCTTTATTGCAATATTTTTGTTCTATTACAATATTCTAATATAATTTTCAATCGAAACAGGAGGAGAAATAATAGTTTAAAGTTTTGATATTATAAATTCCATGAAAAGATCCGCATATATAAGTTTATCCTATTGATATTACAGTCAAAGCTCGTTATAGTGGATCTCGTTATAGTGGATTTTGCCTATAGTGGACTTTGTTTATTTCCCCAATTCTCTTTATAATAATAAAATTTGTTCGTTATAGTTAAAGATGGCTCCTCAATTAATTGAAATTAATTGCGGCATATATAAAAATTGAATTGCGGTTGCTGTTACAGCATATGAAAATTGAATCGCGGCCAATTGCGGCTCCCACCTTTAGTTATAGTGGACTTCATAATTAAATCTCTTTATTGTGTATAAAAAATTTGATATAGAACATACTTTATTGAATTATGTTCGTTATAGTGGAAATCATGTGGTTTTATGGCAATCTTTTACATTAATGGTTAATGTTAATGTGGTTTCTAAAACAGCAATGTGTTAGCAAAATTAATTGTGCATTATCCTTTTTTGATGACGACAATAAAGTATTTGTAGATTAATTTTTTTTTAACAATAAATTAATGTTTATACATTATCCTCTTTTTTTTTTACTGATGAAGAAATTATTAGGAACCAAATCCTGAGGTTGAAGAGGAAAAAGTGGAAATGATGGTTATTTCTGATAAAGAGGCATTAAATAGTATCGTTTAGAAAAAGTGATTCAATATTTAAAAAATCCATCAGATAATTTTACAATTAGCTATCAAGAATAAAAAACGATTAATAGTTTAAAATCAAAAATTCATAACGTGTCCAGGATAATGCAAAACAACTTATGTTAGACAGTTTTTATTTACTACGTATATATGTTGTACATGTAGATGAATTTATTTGTGTTTTCCTTTATAGTTCCAGGCATTTTGTCCACTATAACGTATTTCCACCAAGTGTCCACTATAACGAGCTTTGACTGTAATTAGATTTGTTGACCAACCAATATCGAATACCCCAACGCCCCATAAATGTAATTCTTTACCAAATTCATATTTCGACATTTGAAAAAAAAAGAGGATAATGTATAAACATTAATTTATTGTTAAAAAAAAATTAATCTACAAATACTTTATTGTCGTCA